CTGGCGGGCCGGGCCCGGGCAGTGCAGGGTGCGGGGAGGCGTGGCAGCCTCGGGCACCGGGCGGGTGGCTGCCTCTGCCCCGTCCGGTGCGCGCAGGTGAGCAAGTCCGCGTGCGTCCTCACCACACAGGCCATTGCGCGGCTGCTCAAGTCCAGGGAGGCGGCCGCCGCCGTGGACGTCAGGACCTGGCCCACCGTTCTGGATACAGGCACGTGTCCCCTGTGCTGGGCTTCGGGTCCTTCTGGTAGAGCCTGCGCAGAATTGAGTAGAACACTGGCACTTCTCGTGTCATGTACGGCAGTGTCTCCAAGGCTCTAGTGGGGACCGAGGATCATGTTTGGGGCCAGCGCTCCCCTATCTTACTCGGTCCCCTAGCCCTGGTGCTCTGTGTGGTACGACCCCAGCCTTTGCTACTCTGTCCTGCTGGCACCGCAGGTTGGCAGCTGTCTGCAGCCTTCTGCTGATCTCTCAGGGATGAAGTTGCCACCCCTTCCCCTGCCCCCAGTATCCCAGTACCCATCACTGGTGAATGCTGCCATGCCCCATGAAGTGCTTGTGGGCCAATGCAAGGGGCTGAAACCACCCCCCCTGCCTTGACAATTGGGTCAGCACCGTCAAACCTGTCTCAGCCTAGGGCACCCCCACCGAGCAGCACCCCGTGCTCTGAGTGCTGGCCAATAAGCAGACCAGAGTCCTTCCTTCCCCATCGCACCCCAGGGGCATCTGTCCTTCCACTCCGCCATGCCACCTATGAGTGGGGGTCAGAAACACCATTGCACCCCAGGGGCATCTGTCCTTCCACTCCGCCATGCCACCTATGAGTGGGGGTCAGAAACAGTGTTGTCTGTGGCCACCTGTGATGGGCACGGGCAGCTGATGGCAGGACAGTTGGCATGGGGCCAAGGGGGCAGGCTCAGGGCAGGCTCGGGCAGACTGGCTGGAGCCTCCTGGACTCTTCTCTGAGGTGGGTGGTGCCTGCTCTCACTCAACCTGTGTCCAGTCTACATGGGGTCAGTGGTTGTGTCTCCCTCACCGGGTTGCAGGAACTTGAAGAAGTAGCTAGAACCCAGGAGCTATCTGTGGCTGCTTTGGCTTTTGTGGTTGTGATTTTGGCTCCATCTTGGCTCGGCCACAGGCTCTGGACTTTGGCAAGTCCTCGATCCTCTAACCTTCCTCACTTGTAAATGTAGTGACTTCCCGTGTGGCTGTTATGACCTGTCCCTGCTCTTCTGTGCCCCACCTCACACCACCATTCCTGTCACCACACACTCAGCACAGTTTTGGTGGGTGTGCACTGGGTAATGTTTCCTTGAAGATTAAAATAAGCTTTCCCGTGAACACACACAGCCTGCTTTCTCACAGCCCGACTTCTGTCTGAGCTCGCCTTTTGCAGGATGCCCAAGTCAAACTTGTGTCTCTTCCCTCATCTGTGAAAGCTTGAAGCTTCTACCTTGTGCACAACACATGCAGGAACACTAACATCGCTGGTGTCTCCTGTTTAACAGATGACATACCAAAAAAGAAGGTGGCTGGTATTTTCCGACCCCCCTCCCCAGACGTGCTTGCCTACTTGGACTTCAGCGTGTCAACCACGGGGATATTAGCGGGAGTGAAGGTAGGTCCTCTGGGCACCTGGATATTAGAGGGAGTGGACAGAAAGGACATCAGGTGCAGGTTTAGGCAGGTACTTCTCATCCAAATCAGAAAGCAACGGTATTGTTTCTTAAAGTTTGTGTTAACGCCAGTGAACCCCAAAATAGATTAACCTGAGAGTACTGCGTATTTTGATGTTTTATGGTACTGTCTATATGTTCTGATTTATTACTGGCCTGCAGAAGCGCGTGGCTTTAATGAGTCTGTTTCCTTACTAGTAGCTAAGAGCTCAATTAACATTCTTTACTGTCCTGAAATTTTGTTTCAGAGATTTTTAGTGTGCTATTTCCTGGGTATTATTTAGGTTGCATGGGGATTTGAGCCAACCATCTTTAAAGGCAGTAAATGTGACATTTGTTAGTTTGGAGCTACGTTCCAGCAGCCGTGGACAGGAGACGTTGCTGTTCACCCTCTCTCCTCCTTCACATCACTGAACAGACCTTTTATTTTATCCTTAAGATGTCACATGCAGCCACAAGTGCCTTGTGCCGCTCCATAAAGCTGCAGTGTGAATTGTACCCCTCACGGCAGATTGCCATCTGCCTGGACCCCTACTGCGGCCTTGGCTTCGCCCTGTGGTGTCTGTGCAGGTGAGTGTACAGGTGCCGCCTGCTGTCCGCCCACCCGCTGCTGGGTGTGGAATTGCTCCTGTAGTTCTTTGGAACCTTATCATTCTAAGATGCCTTTTTTGAGTTCCCAAGAAGCTGAATGGTTTCTTTGGGATGTGGTGGGTTGAAGTCTGGGTCTGAAACCGAGTAAAAGAGTAAAATCATTTTTTATTAAATACAAGCACTAGCCATTATTAATAATTGGGAAGAATCTGCTTGATTCCTTCAAATATGAGAAAGTGGCACTAGTCCACCTCTAGCAGAGTGCCTCCATGGCAGTACTCCCTGGGTACCTCGAAGTTTAGAGCAGAGGCCAGGACCCTGTGCCTGTCGTTGCCCCATCTCTACCCTGCAGCCTGTTTCTACTGGAACTCCCACTCAGTGTTAAAACACAAATGTCCCCTCTCCGGGCTAAAAAGAAGTGTCCTTGGGAAAGGAAAGAGCAGGTGCTGGGTGCACTGGGTTCGCCAGGTGGGACCTGGAACCTTCCCAGCCCTGAGGCCCTGGCTCCCGCAGTGTCTACTCAGGACACCAATCGGTGCTGGTGCCGCCACTGGAGCTGGAGAGCAACGTGTCCCTGTGGCTTTCAGCCGTCAGCCAGTACAAGGCCCGTGTTACCTTCTGCTCATACTCGGTGATGGAGATGTGCACCAAGGGCCTGGGTGCACAGACAGGCGTCCTCAGGGTGAGTTCTTGGATGGGGCTCCCGGACCCCTGGGAAGCTTAAAATAACAAAGCAAAAAAAGATTCCTGAGACCCCTACCCACAGTTTGTGGAAACAGAGAAAATTCTTTCCCTGCACTGAGCCACTGTGTACACACCCCTGCTCCTGAGCTTTGAGCCCCTGCTGCATGGGCTCCAAGTGCATCTAATGGCATCCCTCCCTCCAGCCACTGCACACTCAGTGGGGCAGGGATTGGGAGTTTGTTGTGTGTTGGGGGTAGGGGGTAAAGGCGATGGGGCAGGGGCAGAGCCAGAGTACGGCGCTAGCTCTGAGCACTCCATAGGCTCCCCGAGGTCCTGGGGCCAGCTCAAGATTGCTGTGTAGAGGCCTGGCTGTGTAGGAGGGCAGGTATGGGATGCGGATCACATCAGATGGGTACCTTCGAGTGCTTCCGTACTTAAGAGTTGATGGAACCAAGACAGAGGCCAAAGAGACAGGAGGTTTGCATTCAGCTTTGACTTTGTGCACTCAGAACTAGGGCCAAATCACACATGGTTCCCACCTGGAAACTTCTTAAGGCAGTGTTCAGGGCTCTGGGACCTCACTATGCTGTGGGCTTGACTCCCTGGTCTTCCTGCAGATGAAGGGAGTTAACCTGTCGTGTGTGCGCACATGCATGGTAGTCGCCGAGGAGCGGCCCAGGATCACGCTGACGCAGTCCTTCTCCAAGCTGTTCAAGGACCTGGGCCTGCCTGCGCGTGCTGTGAGCACCACGTTTGGGTGCAGGGTCAATGTGGCCATCTGCCTCCAGGTAAGGCTGCAGACCCTAGGGTTGTGGAAGCTTCCTGCTAGCGTAGCTGGAGACCAAGTTTCCTAGTCCATAATGTGTAGTTTTGTATCTGCCTATTCTGTTTCTCCTTCTCTGAGCCTCTGATGTTTCTACAAAGGATATCCACCTAGCATTTTAGCTTTGTGAGCTATGAGGGTTTTATTTTAAAAGATAATGGATTTTTAACCAATGAACAAAGGCTTATTTGGGAAAAATCACAAATTGTTTTTGAACAGTGACTATTACCTGTAAGAATCTCTAAATTGAATGTAATACAAAGCTAATTTTTTATAACAGGATCGATTTTATCATTTTAAGACATCTGGTACTTTTAAATGGAGACGTATGAATAAGTATGATACTTTGTATTGTTTATCTTTGAAACCATGAGGCGTTTTACTTATTAAAAGAAAACAGAAAGCTTCAGAGTTAAGCAGCTCACTGCAGGGCTGTTTACTGTTCTCCAGATGGCCACAACTGTTTTCCAGATTTTGTACTAGTATCTCAATTTTACTTCTTCCTAAGAACATCTTAAAACCAAATAGCCTATTAGATAGCCTGTATATCAAATGCCTTGTTCACCCACATAGTGTCAGAATAGCTGAGAGGAAAAGGCCTCTGCCTGTGCCAGAACAGATCCTAGGTATGGGGCTGCTCCTCAGTTTCCAAAGCCCTTGCTTGGCCTTGTGCCTTGTCCTCACATGGTTAGCATGTGTGGGGCAGGCCTTGGCTGCAGAGACCACGTTTGTCACAACAGCATCATCCTCTTTTCCTGGCATTTCTGCTTATGACCACTCAACCATGAGAAGACCGTTGACTGCTCTGAGCCTCAGACCCTTGTTGTGTTGCAGGAGACTGGGTCGGGTTCTTTCTTATTGTCCCTTCCTGTTGCAGAATGTGTGACTTGGCATGGGATGTTGGCACATATGTTGTGAGTGAAGAGCCTACTGTCTGTTCTGCATCTGAAAGCCTGTGCCCTTCTTCCTAGATATTGGAAGCTGTCTGTTCAGTTTGTTGGCTGCCACATGTGATTGCAAAAATCTTAGTGGGATACTCAATGTTTGCGCTCTAAGATACAGCGATGCCTTTTGCTCTCTCTTATCATGTGTTTCTCATGTGGCCTGTGGCCTTCCGTTTGTGTCTCCTGTGGCTGTCTCCTCCCTGTCTCACTCTGCGGGCCTCCTTGGCCTCTGTCAGCCCAACAGGCTGGGAAAGCTGGCTGAGCAGGTATGACCTTGACTTTGACCTTGTTGCTGCCTCTGTGCTCCCCACCCACACCCCACAAGTTCATGTGACCTTCTCGTGAATTCTGGACAAATAAGTGTTTCTTTTGTTGTCTTACTTTGTTCACAGTGGATATTATTTGATATATTATAAAAGATTCCTTGTAACCAAATTTAAAAGTAGAACTGTTTTCAGAAAAGTTTAACATTCATAGTATTGCCAAGGGAGGGAGGGAGGACTGTGCTGACTCTCAGTGCAGAAGTCTCGGTTTAGTCCCAGGGCAGACATAGGTTATGTGTCTGGGACCATTGGGGAGTGAAGCAAATGCTCATTTAACCTGATGCTCCGTATCTAATGAAGAGGTACATAGTGTCCTTCAGTCAGGTCAGTGTCAAAGACCTGAGAGAGGTGAGGACTATCATCCATCCGATCTGAGTGAGTGTTGGCTGTGCTCAGTCGCCAGTAGAATTAGGTCAGATGATGAAAGGCCAGATGTCCCAAACCATAATGGTGATGTCATCACAGCAAGAGACCAGTGGGAATAGAATGTTGTCTGAAGTGAGATGTAAAATTGTGTGATTTGACATTTTCATTCATTGTTGGTGAACGTTCTACTCAACATCATCAAGCCATGTGGATGTTTGGATGTAAAGCATCAGCCCTGCCCCAAGGACCCTGAGCCCCTGGGTGCAGTCTGCAGGGAGCAGAACTGCTGGGGTGTCTCTGAAGGCCCGGGAGGAGTTTCTGTGCAGCTGTGCCTGTGAAGACTAGGTGAGTGTGAAGGCCCCAAACAGAGGTTCCTCTGCTGTTCTCTTTCCAGGGCACAGCCGGCCCAGACCCCACAACTGCTGGGGTGTCTCTGAAGGCCCGGGAGGAGTTTCTGTGCAGCTGTGCCTGTGAAGACTAGGTGAGTGTGAGGGCCCCAAACAGAGGTTCCTCTGCTGTTCTCTTTCCAGGGCACAGCCGGCCCAGACCCCACAACTGTCTATGTGGACATGCGGGCACTGCGCCATGACAGGTAATGTCCCTGGCCTGCACACCCTTGTCCTTGCCCATAGCAAAGAGCCCCAGGCGGGGTCTACACTGACTGTGCTCCTCCAGCGCATCCAGACGTTAGACAACTGGCGCCAAGGCACCTGGATGTTAGTGGAGGGCTGGCTGAGTCAGGGGCCATCTGCACCAAGAGAGGGAGCAGATCTGTGGGCTCTGCTCAGACATGTTCCATGGAGGGAGCGTGGCTTTGTCTCTCTGCTCCCCTGTGTCCTCAGGGATGCAGCACATGTCCCTTTATCCATCATTCACACAACCAGGAAGGGTGATAAGAGGGACTAAACATTGGATATCTGCTTTTTATGGGGAGGTGTGGAAGACAAATAAACCAACTAATGGTAAGAGCCTTTTTTACTGGTGCCATTTTAATATCTGACTTAGTTTTTACATCACTGAGTGTGTGCCTGCTGGTCTGTGTTCAAATGTGTATTCAGGGTCTCTCTCAGCTTTGTAGCTCAGATCCCAATTCCGGATTCTCAAATGTGGTCATGCTGCAGCTTGATATAAACAATAGGTGCAGCTTACTGGGTGCCAGGGGCCTGCCGGAGCCAGGGTGGGGGGACCCAAAAGACACATAGAACAAGCTCCTGCCCTGAGCCCACAGAGCATGGAGAGAGTGTGCATGGCACCTGCGCTGCAGGACCCTCAGCATTGTCGGGGGTTCTCTGCAGCAGCTGAAGTCATTGCCCAAGATGGTCACGGGCAGGTTTGTTACTGAAAGGCTAACATCCTAGCTATTGTTGATAGGCTGACCCTCAGAGTGGTAATTAATTTCTAATAACCTCGTAACTTACCTTTTTGGAAATTACTATCTGTGTAGTAAACTTTAGTCTGAAATGTTTTCCTTGTTAATTTTTAGGGTACGTTTGGTAGAACGGGGTTCTCCGCACAGTCTGCCATTGATGGAGTCTGGAAAGGTAGTAGAAGCTGAGACTTATGCATTCTGCAATGTGTCTGAGTTCTTTCTGTCTCAAACATCACTCCATGAAGGTGCTGGGGGCTGCCGTTCTCTAATGAGTACAGGTCAACTTCTGGTCAGGGTGGGCTGGGCTGCTGCAGAAGCCTCTGCTCTGCCTTTACTGCAGACATGTAGAAGTTTTAGATATCTGAGCTTAAAACCAAGAAAGGGGAACTTCAGATGCAGAAGCAGAAGGAACTTGTACTGGTAGATGTGAGGCCTCTGGGGTCAGGGCCTTGAAACTAGGGGCCTGGACCACCCAGACATCTAGAGTCAAGAGGGTACCACTGGCCTTGGATTGGGGATGTGGAAAACTTGTGCCCTGTTTCAAAATGATGGCAAGGAAGAGACCCCCCACTCCTTGCCCTCAGGCAGGAGGTGGAGTCCTGGACCCCATGTGGGAATTTGGTGAGGCCCCCAGAGCCCCCTGAAAATGCCCAGGTAGAAGCTATGAGCTGCTATGAGGGGTCAGCAGATGTAGACACAGGAGAACTGGCATCCTTGGAACCAGGGAAGGTTCAGAGGAAGGAGAGAAACCCACAAGGCCCAATTGGGTAGTAGTGAAAAAGTAGGGCAGGCTTGGTGTGAATGGCAGATGCCACATGCTCAGCATGGCCAGGGGCCTAAGGGCTGTGCATGGCAGCTGCTGTGCATCCGTGGGGGCACTTGGGAGGCCTCTTCTCTGCACCTTTACAACTCCAGAGGCTAGAAATGGAGTTTGGCCACTCTGACTCTGCTCATTCACTGCCATGGCCGTAGCTCCCTTCAGGGAGGCAGGGAGGTGCCCAAAGAGGGACAGAGCCAAGCCATGTGATGATCAACATGTGGATTCCTGCAGGGCAGTGGGGTCAGATCTGGGGCAGGAGGCACAGCTGGTGCAAAGGTCCTGCGGTGGGAGCCAAAGGGAGGAAGGGGCAGCAGAAAGAATGAATGAGAGAGAGAATGAATGAATGAACTCACACGTAGGTGCAAGGTCTTGAAAAATTCATCTCCCATGTCCCCTTTTAAAAGTTACTCTAGGCCGGCCCGTGGCTCACTCGGTAGAGTGCGGTGCTGATAACACCAAGGCCACGGGTTCGGATCCTATATAGGGATGGCCGGTTTGCTCACTAGCTGAGCATGGTGCTGACAACACCAAGCCAAGGGTTGAGATCCCCTTACCGGTCATCTTAAAAAAAAAAAAAAAAAAAAAAAGTTACTCTAAGGGGCCGGCCCGGTGGCACACTGCTACAGTGCGGCGCTCCCGCCGAGGGTTCGAATCCCACATACA